TATATATATAATATATATATATATATATATATAATATATATATATATACATATATATATATATATATATACATATATATATATATATATACATATATATATATATACATATATATATATATACATATATATATATATATATACATATATATATATATACATATATATATATATACATATATATATATATATAATATATATATATATACATATATATATATATACATATATATATATATACATATATATATATATATACATATATATATATATATACATATATATATATATACATATATATATATATACATATATATATATATACATATATATATATATACATATATATATATATATACATATATATATATATAATATATATATATATATACATATATATATATATAGAGAGAGAGAGAGAGAGAGAGAGAGAGAGAATAAGAATACTGAACAAATATAGGGTAGTAAAATGTCTAAATTCCAAAGCAGTAAAAAGAGAAAAGACACAAAACCCATTACTGCATGGCAAACAAGCACATTACAGAGTAAGAAAAAAAGGCACATTAATACGAAAGAAAGGTTTAAGTTAAATTAATAGAAAAGTAAACAGAGTTTTTTAAAAAGCTACAATAAAATGAAAATTATCAAATATAGAAAATTCATACGTTCAAAAGGCAGAAAGAAAGAGTGAGATACAAGGTAGCTAAACAATAAAACAAAATTAAAGATTAAATCATATAATTAACTACAACACATGACCAATAAAATATATCAAAACCATAAAAAGTCCAATACAATAAACCAAACACTCAGAAATAAACAAACAATTAAAATCAAATAAAGAAAACCTCACCCGCCCCCCCCCAGAAAAATATAATACCAACAATAATAATGAAAAAAAAAAACGATTAAAAACCCAAAGAGGCAGAAAACCATCTCGTCAGGGGCCATTAACAGCCACTCGACGGGGAAACGTGAAGCGCCTGTATCGTGTATCTGAGGTCATTCAGCCCTGGAGCCTTGGGAAATGGGGCCAATGGGGCCACTGATAACCAACTTCATGGGCTTAAAGCGTATGCCAAGGTCAGCGTGGATGATAAATGGGGGGGGGGGGATAATGCGAAGAAGGAGGAGGAGGAAGAGGAGGAAGAGGAAGAGGAAGAGGAAGAGGAGGTGGAGGAGGAGGAGGGAAACAAGGGAAGGATCGATTTTAAGTGGAAGAGGAAATTGAGTTGTTTGTGATTTACCACCATAAGACTTAGCTGCCCCCTGCCCTTTCTACGAGACTCATCTCCAGACCCCCCCCCCCCCCACAGGACTCAGCTCCCCCTCCCTCTCCACAAGAATCATCTTCCTCCTCCAACTACCCCCCCCCCCTGGAAGACTCACCTACCCCCACCCCACTTTCTTAATCTCAACACCCCCCCACAAAAAAACTGCCCCCCCCCCTCCCTCCCCACTGTCTTCCACTCCTTCAAGGTCCAAAACCCTCATTATCGTAGCTTGAATATCACCCTAAGTGCTTTCATGGGCAGAAAAAGGATGCCTTATGCATGTTCTCAAGCATTCTTTACCTTTGACCTTTGACCTCAAACAGCTGTTCCCTCCCCCCCACTTTGGGCATATAGAAGGAGATAATAAATGAAAAGGAGGAGGAAACGATGACAAATAAAAGGGGAAGAGGGGAGATGAAGAGAAGAAGATGAAGGATAATAAAGAAGAGGAAAAGACAGAAAAAGAAAGAAGATGGAAAATGGAGAGAAAGAGAGAATGGATGATAAGGAAGAGAGAAGACGGTAAAAAAGAACAAGGAAAACAAACAGCTAACGATAACACGGTAATGGATGATGATAAGAGCGAATTGGACGGTGATAAGGCGAAGGAGGCGAGAGCTAAACAAGAAATGAAAAAGGTGGATGAGGATAACAAGCAAAATTACGGTCGATGATAACAAGGAAGAGGAAAGGAATTCGGTGCTAGCGCGAGAAAGAAAAGAAAATGTGAAGAAGAACAAACATACTGACATATGTGTGTGTGTGTATATATATAAACATACATACATACATACACACACACACACACACACACACACACATATATATATATATATATATATATATATATATATATATATATATATATATATATACATGTATGTCTATGAATGTATTCATGTATATATATACATACATATACATATATATATATATATATATATATATATATATATATATATATATATATATATATACATACATATATATAAATATATATATCCACGCATACACAAACACACACACACACACATATATATACACTGATGTAGAGATAGATAGATATATAGATATGTACGTATGTAGGAAGATATATATATTTCCATACATATACATACATACATACATACATATATATATATATATATATATATATATATATATATATATACATATATATATATATGTGTGTGTGTGTGTGTGTGTGTGTGTGTGTGTGTGTGTGTA